TCCTATTACTGGATTATTTATATTAACACTTCTCAGGTTATTATGTTATTTTATACAGAGTAAGGTTTCTCCAACAATGCGATCCCCACATCTGTTGGAGCAACTGCAGTAGCTACGAAGTATGGGGGTTCTAATCCAGCATGTCAAAGGGAACAGACTGGGGAAGGCTGGTTTAGTACATCTGAAACATTTTTATAATGGGAAAATGATTGGGGAAAGACCTGCTCTGAGCCTTCCCTGGCCACCTGTTTCCGCCAGAGAGGGAATAATATAATTTCTTTTCATTATACCACGGCATAGGCCCCCAAACACTTCTCTTTCCCAGGTTATGACAAATAGTTTAAAAACGAACAAAATGCCCTTACCTATAGAACAGACTGGATCCCTTCTGGATGATTTTAATGCAAGGCTAAAAAATAAACAGATAAATCCTTATTATCCTCTGCTAGTGCTTCCATGGTACAAAATCTTACAGAGACTGCTTGAGATTCTCCAATTAAAATGCAATTAGAATGCAAGGCTCCCACCCTAATTGGCAATTTGCAAATCTATACAAAGAGTGCAAGTCATAAAGTCAAAGAAAAAAAGTCTGCATTAATTTATTTGGAAGTAAGTCCTATCAAAAGTGGACTTCTTTTAAGAAAATAAACGCCTTAACCGTCTCTTCCTTGGTACTGTATCCCAGTTTGAACGCACACATATTACATTGCACAATGATTTGTTGAATAACTTATCATTGGTTGGGTTTGCATAAGATGCTATGACACCAGTCATGATTGGGCAAACTATAATGTTGAGGGCTATATGTCCTTAACAATATATTTACATGAGACAGTGGTGCTTAAAAGTTTGTGAATCCTTTTGAATTTTTGATATTTCTGCATGAGTATGACTTAAAACATTATCTGTTCTCCACACAAGTCCTAATGACCCAAAACTCCAAAGTTCACAAACTTTTAAACATTACTATAAGTGGGGCTGAACCAAGCAGTAGCTACAGCCAGATCCAAAATTGGGTGGGGACACCTATTCTCTTTCTTTTTTCTCTCTCTTTCTAATGCTCTCACTCCTCCAATCAACAGATTTCAAGGAAAGAAGCAGTAATTCTTGCCAGAAGTCTTAACTGCAGAAAAAAATTCCAGTAAGGCTGAAAATCAGGGAGAGTCTGATAGCCACTTTTCACATGGCTTCCCTCTTACAATGTTTATAATAAGGCTGAGCATCAAGAATTCTTCCTGTTCTTTTAGTGCTATCTTCCATCAGGACACAAAACAAGATACTGTGCAGAGTGTCAAGTCCCTTACCTGAAAAATGCAGATCTTTGTTTTAAAAAAGATTCCTTTCCCAGGGACAGCACCTGGAGGAAGAAAGTTAAATCATCTGTTACAAAAGAAAGAAAAAGTACCAAGAGCTTCTCAAAGCACAAGGTTGCTCCTTAGCAAACTTCTCAGATTTATAAGTCCTAAAAGCTGTGTTTGCAAGAAACAACAAGATGGCTGATTTCCTACATTTCTCTTTCTGCTTAGTTCCTCTAACTTATAGGCAGATATTTCAACAGTACAATATTTAGCGGGATGGGAAACACCTAAGTCTAAATTCATTCTTGATGATGATGGCTTAAAGTTATGATACACATACCCTTAGGTCAATATACTTGAAAGTCCTTACATGAGATTTACATTTTAAACAGAAAAAAGAAAAAACTAGAAATGTATAAAGAAGCAAACTGAAGTTAGCTACCAGGGGAACAGAGCATTTTTAGGGAAAAAGTAGCTATTCTTGGGGCATGAGGAAAGTTTACTAAATCCCAAATAAAGAAAGGAAACAGTGCAAAAACAGAGAGAGGATTTCCGTAATTCCATCTCTATTACGGGAAAAAAAAATGTCCTGATAAGAAATTTTGGATAAATCAAAAGAAGCACTCACATACGGGGAGTTCACCAATTCCCCATATGCTCGGTCCACCGCCCCCCACTCTCCATCTGCACACGCTTTCCCACCCTGGGGACCCCCAGATGGGCTCGGCTGGGCATGATGGAAGCTGGAATCCAAGTCATTCCGAGGACACCCCGTTGCAGGAGGCTGGGTCAGCCGCCAAGGCTGTACAGGATCGCCGGGGCAGCCCTGCCACGACCACCCTCAGCTCCCCAGCAGGCAGAAAAGGGTGGGGAAAGGCACCCCAAAGGGAGGCGGGCGGGGGGGCGCCCCCCCAGATACCTACTTTCCCCAAGGCCGCGCTCATGCTCCTCGGCGACGCCCCCGACCCTCCAGGCGGTAACCACGGCGATGCGGGGGAAGAATCACGAATCTGAATAGGTCACCGCAACGCGCCCCACCGCAGCTCCTGAAGGTCCGTCACTAAAAAAGGTCCCCCTTCCTCCCTGTCTCGCGGGCACCAGGTTCCGCTGCCAGTTTGTTCCGCCGCCGCCAATCAGGAGTGTCCTCTCCGCAGTGGCTGTTCTAATTGGCTAATCGGGGAGCATAGAGAGAAAAACAAGGAGAGGTGACCAGCAGGCCTCTTACAGTAGCTCTACTTCTGAAAGATGGGAGCCAATTTGGTGTAGCGCAGTGTTCGTTAAACTTCTTTCTCTCAGGACCCCTTCCCACTTTTAAAAGTTATGGAGGACCCCAAAAGAGCCTTCGTTTGTAGGGGTTATATTTGTTGATATTTGCAGTATTAAAAATTAAAATTGATGTATTCGGTGCTGCTACCACTTCTCACAATTGTTTAATGGGATTTTAATATTGTATTATTTTTCAACATAGTCTGGCAAATAATTTTGATTTTGTGGACTCTTGAGAGGGTCTTGGGGGACCCCCACAAGCCCTTGGACCAGACTTTGAGAAACACTGGTCTAGTAGTTAAGGCACCAGCTAGAAACTGGGAGACCTTGAGTTCTAGTCCTGCCTTAGGCATGAAGCCAGCTGGGTGACCTTGGGCCAGTCGCTCTCTCTCAGCCCTAGGAAAGAGGTAATGGCAAGCCATTTCCAAATTCTTGCCAGGAAAACTGCAGGGACTTGTCCAGGCAGTCGCCAGGAGTCCACTGATTCAGGTACAACAACAACAACATACCATCTGAACTGGGGTTTGTTTGTGTGGGCCTGTGTTGTTGTGCAAAGCCAGGAATGCTGGATTATATCCAGGACTGATAGCTTAGGAGTCTCTATGAATTTAGCCAACAGGGGTTATTCTCTAAGCTAGCACTGAGCCTAATAATGGTATGTGAATGCAGACACTGTGTTGGTTGGGCCGGCTCTCGAAGTTTAGCCACCTGGATGGCAAAGGCAATACTTCCTTTCTGAAAGTAACACCAGGGTTCAAGTTGAGCTAAACCTCTCACTGGGGAAGGCTGGATCCATTCTTGCTATCAGAATAGCTGAGCCCCCAAGATGTCAAACACAGCCAGTGTCATTGGCTTATGACTGCGTGAGCCTGATGAACCTGCAAAATGCCATTAACTGAGAAACCCAGGGTTTTGTTAACTGTGGGTTAGCGTATTGCTTATGAGATGCAGAGCCAGTAAAAAGATAGAGGATTGTTCGTGTCCTTGCATCATATCACAATTTTTCACTACTTATGGAGGTGAGGGGAACCCAGAAGCAGCCCCCAAAGCACTATGCTCTCTTCGACTGTTACTTCATGCAAAACAATTAGACTTTTCTGAGGCATTAGACTACAACACCTATCTTCTCCAGCTAAAACAACTACTGAGTGTAGTTATGGAATTCTCTCCAAGGGAAACACAGCTGGACCCAACAGCTGAAGACATGCCTGCTCCTTGAGGCATTTGTACAGATGCTTTGAAGATCAGACTCTCTCCAACAGCGTTGTTCTATTGCATTTCTTTTCTAAAATCAACCATGTTTTAATTTTAGATATTGTCTTTAAGAGTCATTGGTTTTCATATAGTTTTTATTCTTCTGTAACCACTCTGGACGCCTTCTGGAAGGAAGAGTGGAATAATAATTGTGGAAGGCTGGAGGTGTCAAATTCCTCTCAGGATCTACACATCCTGGCCCTGCTTTCCTTCCCTGTGCGTTTCCCCAGTGCTCTGTTTCTATTTTTCAAAAATGTGAACGTGAAGGATGTGTGTTTTTATTTTATGGTTTTTATATATATAAGGTGCACTGGGGATGGCA